ACCCTAAACCCTAAACCCTAAACCCTAAACCCTAAACCCTAAACCCTAAACCCTAAACCCTAAACCCTAAACCCTAAACCCTAAACCCTAAACCCTAAACCCTAAACCCTAAACCCTAAACCCTAAACCCTAAACCCTAAACCCTAAACCCTAAACCCTAAACCCTAAACCCTAAACCCTAAACCCTAAACCCTAAACCCTAAACCCTAAACCCTTAACCCTAAACCCTAAACCCTAAACCCTAAACCCTAAACCCTAAACCCTAAACCCTAAACCCTAAACCCTAAAACCCTAAACCCTAAACCCTAAACCCTAAACCCAAACCCCAAGTCATTTGCTCAACTTTTTTCTCTCTCCTCGCGGGAGCTTCTCTCTCATCAATGCTACATTCAATGGGCGAGATCTCTACCATCTGACCTCAGATCTTGCTGAAACCTGTTTCATTCGATTCGCAAGGCCGGAAATCATCATCATCGAGCTGTCACACGTGGAAAATGGTTGATTGATGCTCTCGGTCTCGCGATTTCTCCCTCGAGAGGTATTTCTCAGCACGGTATATTCTCGGGGTGATATCTACTGATTTACTTGGCTGAAATATTATATCTTTATATCAGTAGAATCGTATTTTCTTGATTGACAGCTTTTCCATCTTGATCATTTTACTTTGATGCTTCGTTGATGAGTAAATCATCGTTTTCATCGGCGGACCCGTGTCCTGCCGATGAGAAACCGAGGGAAGAAGCATGCTTTGAGCCTTCCAACGGTCCGAAAATCGGAACCATCGATCGCCTGAACGGTCCATTAACGGACGGTCAGGATATTTTGTCGGCTGGAGATCCCCCGGTTCCAGAGATCGCGCCGATGCCAGCCGGCACTGCTATTTCAATGGTTGATTTACAGATTACCGGCCTGGATCTACTAGAGGAAAAGGTGCAGCAAGCGGCTGACGCCGTTTCATCGGTTACGGTGTCCGTGCTTGCGCCAGCGAGAGCTGACACGGAGGACACCAACGGGAGCTTAAATCCGTCCGTTGAAATCGAAATCAACAGAACGGATTCGGTACCGCAACTTTTTGCGGGCGCCGCTCTCTCGTGTGTGACGCCCATGACGTCACCTGCGTCAGAAAGGGCGGGCGCAGCAACCCAGACAACCGGAGGCCAGACCGCGCCGGCTCACGGCGTCCTGGCCCAGATCAGGGCTGAGTCGGAGCAGGCCGCAGTAGCCGAAGCCACGATGGCCGTGGCGGCTCAGTCTCAGGCCCAGCCGGCCGAGGTTGCGCGGAACACGGTCGTGCCGGACAAGACCGCGCAGCCCAAGGGTCCGAAGGCTAAAGCTTCTAGGACCCAGCCACCGGCCCAGACTAAACCGGCCCAGACCAAGCCGGCCCAGGCCTCACCGGCCCAGACCCCACCGACCCAGGCCCCAACGGCCCAAACCGCTCAGGCCCGGACCGCTCAGGTCCAGGCCGCTCAGGTCCAGACTGAGCTGGACCAGCACACCCAATCACAGCCCACCCAGGCCCCAGACCTACTAGCCCAAACCTCTGAAACCAGAGCTGCTCAGGCCCAAGCCAAGCTAACCCAGCCCACCCAGACCCCAGCCAAGTCTTGGGCCCAACGACTAGTAGGACAACAACCCACTCCTACAGTGGCAAATACACCGAGATGCGAACTACACCCTACTTATGCTGATGGAATACCGTCACGGGGTTACACTGATGAAGGGGGAATGAGAACAGTCTCATTTTCTTCGAAGGAGGTCTCCCAACTGGTGGAGGCCTTCCAATTTTCATTGATAGGGCGTTTCTCTACGAAACGTCCCCACCTAGATGATATTTATAGGATCTATTTGGCCCCAGGACATTTTCAGGGTAAGGTAGTCATCGGTGCCCGTGATTATCGGAGCGTCTTTATCCGTTTTGAACTCGAGGCTGACTATCGGAAAGCTTGGAGTCGGACCACATGGGAGATTCAGGATACCATTATGCATACATATAGATGGACCCCACAGACAGACGGTATTTCCCGAGGGAAACAAGCGCACTCCATTCCAGTTTGGATAGGTTTCCCTAGTCTACCAGCACATTTCTTCACGCCTAAGGCACTTGAGTCTTTGGCAAATGCAGTCGGTACATTTATACGCCTAGATCCAGGCGTTAAAATGTTTAACCGCCCAGGTTATGCACGAGTATGTGTCGAGATAGACCTCTTGGCCCCCCTTCAACGCATGATCATTGTGCAGAATGGGGATGAAAAGATTTATCAAACAGTTATATACGAGAGACTACCTCATTTTTGTACCCATTGCACAGTGTTTGGACACACCATCCACACTTGTCGACATAAGACCACCCCATCATCTTTAGAGTCTACTACGATTTATTTATCACCTATGTCATATGATAATTATATCAATGAGGCAAGGAAGACTACACCTAGCCGCCCTCCCATACAGAGCTCGCGTGCTCCTTCTCGACCACTGCCGGTCCAGACTAGTGTCCCTCCAGCCGGTTCTAGGAGGACAACCCCACCTACATCAGTGTCACATCCTATCTCTCGAGCATCCACATCCACCCGAAAGGGAAGGAAGATGGTAGTAGGCCCAACTCCCCCCATACCAATAGGTAAGGGGAAGATAGTCGAGACATCGAATGTTTTTGAGGCTCTAGGTACCTTGACCGAGGAGGTTGACAATGTTCCCGTCATAGGGAACAATATCAGCCCACGAGTTCGACGACACTCCCCCAAACAAGGGGGCCCTACTACTACTTCACCTTTAACCCGCTCCTCTCCATCCATCAAGCCTTTAGCTCTTACTACCTCTCTATCACCAATTAGCTCTCCTTCATCCGTTAGACCTTCTACACTCTCACAACTTCCATCACCTATTAGCTCCTCATCACCTAGGTCTGCCCCCTCCCACACCACACCTCGCCCACCCTCCCACCCCCCTCCATCACCCGATAGGGTCCCCGATAGGAGCCCATTAGATACATCCATATCCGACCCTCCTTCTCTTTCTCTTTCTCCCTCCTTACCATCCCAACCTCCGGATCCACCATTGAGCATACCCTTAGAGAGCTCGAGGGAGCGTGAGAGCCCTAGTAGGGGAGAATGCTCGATGAATCGTCGAGTAATCTCTCTTTCATCCTCAGTGGAGGACACTAGTGGGTGCTCTACATCGAGTGCTGAGGACTCTGGATCTGAGTCCTCATTAGATCTCCCCATTGAGGGCATTGACCTTCAGAGAGGATATCAGACAGAGATGGTAGATAGGACCTCACGACAACGTTCTCCATATGTCACCAGATCTAGGGCTCGTGGCAATAGCCACTATCACTCATGATACCTAGCCTTATTTGGAACTGTCGAGGGTTGGGCAACCTCGAAACACAGTCCCACATTATTGACCTCATCAATAAGCACCGACTAGGCCTTGTCGGGCTTATTGAACCTATGATACCATCAGATCACATTCACCCATTACTTAGACGCATAGGCATGGATCAGTTTCATTCTAACCCTACGAACCACATCTGGTTGTTCTGGAAGAGATCATATTCTCTACAACTATTAGTTGAGGGGCCACAACATGTTACGATGAGGGTACTAGGCTCTGGCCAAGAGCTTATTTTCTCAGTCGTTTATGCTTCACATAGACACCAAGATCGTGAGGTTCTTTGGGAAGACCTAGTACGATATACGCGGGATTATCCTATACTAGTTGATTCTCCTTGGTTCGTAGCCGGAGACTTCAACTGTGTACGTAGAATCACTGAACGTCAAGGGGGACGGGTCCCTCGGGCCCATCACATGGAGACGTTCAATGATTTTATTTTTCGCGCGGCCCTCATCGAACATCCTACTTTTGGTGAGGTTTGGACGTGGTGCAACGAGAGACAAGGCGGCGCAAGGATATATGAGCGTATCGATCGTTGCTTCACTAATAACATTGCAATAGTGCAATGTCCCATATGAGTCACACTCCTACCTCGATATAGGTCAGATCACACGCCGATTCTTATTCTCCCTGACTCGAGAGCTAGTATCCCTAGACCTCCTTTTAGGTTTCAGAATATGTGGACTCGGCACGAAGGCTTCCAAAGCTTCGTGCGGAGTCATTGGCATGGAGATATCTCAGACTCTCCTATGGAGAACCTTAGTTACAAATTGAGGAATCTCAAACTTCACCTTAAATGGTGGAACCGACATGTATATGGGAATATCCACACCCAGGTAGAAGAGTTGAAGAAGGAGCTAGCTGGGGTCGAGAGACAACTACAGGCTCGATGGACTGATGACACTTGGGCGAGACGAGTTCGAGTGAGTGAGCAACTAGAAGAGGCTGCACGACGACAAGAGATATATTATCTCCAAAAATCGCGCATCCAGTGGCTACGCGAGGGTGATAGGAACACACGTTTCTTTCATGCCTCGATCGCACACCGATCTCGATCTGATTATACATCTCTACTAGAGATGTATGATCAGGACACATCTCGTATGCAGGAGGCAGGAATTTCATACTTTCGTACCCTTCTTTCTTCTCAGCCGATTGAGATCTCTGAAGATATACTCTCATCGATCCCATCCTTAGTTACCCACCAAGAGATCTCATCCATTATGACCATACCTACTAGGGAGGAGATCAAAGATGTGATCTTCTCAATGAATAGAAACCGAGCACCTGGGCCTGATGGCTTTCCAGCAGATTTTTATTCAACATGTTGGGACATTGTCGGAACCGATTTAGTTCATGCCATCAAAGAATTCTTCCGCCGCAAAGTCTTCCCACGAAGTTGGAAAGCCACCTTTATTGCACTCATACCAAAGGTGGTCAACCCAACCTCTTTTAGAGATTTTCGACCCATTAGTCTTTGTAATGTGTGCTATAAAGTTGTATCCAAGATCATTACAGCACGACTGAGTGTTTTTCTTGATAGGCTCATATCTCCAGAGCAATGCGGATTTGTTAAGGGACGGCACATTCATGATAACATCATGTTAGTTCACGAACTAACACAATCTCTTGACCAAGACATCCGTGGTTCTAATGTCATCATCAAATTAGACATGGAAAAGGCTTTTGATAGGATCGAGTGGAATTTCCTTACCGAAGTACTTCGACGCTTCGGATTCACCGACGAGTTCATTGACCTAGTTGATGCATGCATTAGGGAGAACCATTTCTCCCTATTGGTGAACAGCACTTCCACACCTTTCTTCACAACCACGAGAGGGTTACAACAGGGGGATCCCTTATCACCCACTCTCTTCATATTAGTTGAAGAAGCCCTTAGTCGAACCCTCTCCCGAGCGGTGACACGTGGGCTTATTCAACCATACCATTCGAAGAGGGGTTGCCCGATCATATCGCATTCTTTGTTTGCGGATGATGCGATACTTTTCCTTAATGGGTGTGAAACATCCATCAAGGGACTCATGACTATCATCTCCAGCTACGAGCGGGCCGCAGGTCAACTCGTCAATGCCTCGAAGAGTAGCTTTATAGTTGCATCTTCTGCCACCATTAGCACCATATGACGCATACAGAACCTAACAGGGTTCTCGCGTGGTCATCTACCCTTTGATTATCTTGGATGTCCTATCTTCCTCGGACGCACTCGGGTTCATTACTTTGATTCCCTTTTGTGCAAGTTGAGGAAGAAACTTGACGGATGGAAGCTTCAGCTTCTATCTTCAGGAGGTCGCATCCAACTGATACGTCATGTCCTCATGAGTATGCCCTTGCACCTACTTGCGGTACATGGGGTACCGGACACCGTCTTACGATCTGTGAGGCGGATTTGTACCTCCTTCTTATGGGATGGTCAACTCGACGGGCCTCATCGTCAACGTCGAGTTTCTTGGAAAAAGGCATGTCGACCGATGGACGAGGGTGGCCTAGGGATTAGACGCCCTGAGGATATCCTTGATATGCTTCAAAAGAAACTCGTATGGCGGATGAGGACGACGAGATCACCCCTAGGGACCTTTGTACTAGCCAAATACGGGAATTGGGCTAGCCAACTTACCGACATAAAAGGAGGAAAGCGATGGGCAGATTGGCAAAGACATTGGTTGCAGATGAGGCCTTTAATCCGATGGCGAGTGGGACGAGGCACTATCAGTGCTTGGTATGACACTTGGTATGCGGATACTCCATTGGCCTCTTTTACCTCCTTTAGGCCATCTTGGCCTCGTCTTACGGTGGCTCAGCTTCTTGATGGAGATACTAGTGTATTCCTCGAGAGGCATGGACTCTCATTAGATTTACTACCAGAGATCTCATTAATAGAGTTGGACCCTAGTGATGATCATCCGATCTGGACTCTTACCTTAGATGGATGTTTTTCTTGTAGCTCTTCTTGGAATCACTTTAGACATCGTTCCGCAAAACAGTTTTGGGGAGATCTCATTTGGCACACTGCTATCGTACCTCGAGTCTCTTTCTTTATGTGGAAATTGATGCACCGTGGACTTCCTACAGATGATCGTATGTCTATCACAGGACATAACATCTGCTCTAAATGTCATTGTTGCCCCATCACTCCAAGTAGTGAAACTATGGGCCACTTATTTTTTCATGGTGTTATTGCTACGGAATGTTGGAACCAACTCTTACTGAATTGGTCCCCAGCATTTCATATTTCTCCATCTCTTACACCCCTAGAGATTTTCAGGAGAGTCTTTGATTCTCCGCAAAGCTCTAGGGGCAGCCCCTACCTACGTATTTCCATAGCATATATGTTATGGGAGATATGGAAGGGGCGAAATCTCTCTTATTTTGCAGGTCAACAGATGCGCGCCCCAGAAATCATGAGACATGTCACACAATGGGTGAGAAGTACTCAACATTTGGTGCCACCTTCAGCGACATGTTCGACCTCAATCTGTGAGGCCCTTAGGATCTGGGGAGTCCAAGCCACGCCTACGCATATCGCAATCTCCACTCGGGTCGTCCGATGGAGACTACCGCCAGTTGGACACCTAAAGCTGAACGTCGATGGAGCAGCTAGAGGGAACCCTGGACCTGCAGGAGGAGGAGGCATCTTACGGGATCATACGGGGAGTATTATCTTTGCCTTTTCTTATTTTTATAACATTCAAACTAACACTGCAGCAGAGGCTATGGCGATACGTGATGGTTTGCTCCTCTGTGAGGAACGCAATCTCCATGATATCGTCATAGAATCTGACTCACGAGTGCTTGTTCAGATGTTACGTGCAGGTTCTTGTTCACATTGGCGGCTTCAGAGTACTTGGACCGACATCATGCGTTGTAGAGCAAGGATCACCACCATTACACACCAGTTACGAGAAGGGAACCAGACAGCAGATGCGCTTGCTACACATGCAGTATGCACTCGTTTGTGCTCTGTATTCTCCTCTTGGCAAGAGATGCCGCCCGAAGCTCGAGGTCGACATCGCCTTGAGCAGATCGGTATGCCAGCGCTTCGTATACGGCGAACACGAAGACCTATTGGCCCTCGACATTGGCGGATTGCTTGGGCCAACCCCCAGCAAGCACATGACCTGGCGTACGCAGCACCACAACCACAAAGCTATCCTCGTACTATGGATCGGAGGATTTCACAACAGACTCAACCGAGATGATACCCCGCGGTCGCATCTCCCACCACATCTTTCACTTACCACTTTTGAAATAGAGTTATCTCTTGTCTCCCCTATATCTCATGTCTGAGACTCGAGGACAAACATTATCTCAGCATCAATATAATCAATTTTAAATTTAAAAAAAAAAAAAAAAAAAAAAACCCTAAACCCTAAAACCCTAAACCCTAAACCCTAAACCCTAAACCCTAAACCCTAAACCCTAACCCTAAACCCTAAACCCTTAACCCTACCCCTAAACCCTACACCCTACACTCTACACCCTACACCCTACAGCCTACACCCTAAACCCTAAAACCCTAAACCCAAAACCCTAAATTCTTAAACCCTAAACCCTAAACCCTAACCCCCCTAAGTGGGAGAGTTGCCACCGGATCCCATAAAAACTTTTGAGTTAAGTGTGCTCAGGTGAGAGCAGTCCCCGGATGGGTGACCTCCCTAGGAAGTCCCCAGGTATGTACACATGTATCGCAAGACACTCACTAGTGATATCTATCTCCAAAGAATGTGCCTGAGCGGCACCAAAGTGCTTGTGTGTGTGAAGTATCGAGATGGGCCATCACACCTTGTGTTTCATTCTTCTTGTGGAAGTTCATGTACCGAGGACTACCCACCAACGATCGAGTGATTGTCACTGATCAAGAGGTGGAAAGGAGATGTCATTGTTGCTCTATCACAACGGACGAAAGTATGGAACATCTATTTTTCCATAGTGATATCGCTGTCGAGTGTTGGCATCAACTTCTAGCGAATTGGCTTCCAATGCTCTCGTACATACCTACAAAACCACCACTAGAAGTATTTAGGAGAATCATTGACTCACCGACGAGTGTCAAGGTTAGTCCCTTCATCCATATCTCCATAGCATATATGTTATGGAAAATATAAAAGGGACGTAACTCATCTCGATTTGCAGGCCAAATGATGCATGCCACAAAGATTATGAGGCACGTAACACAATAATTTCGGAGTACTCATTCCTTAGTGCCAAACAAAACGAAACGCTCACGTTCTGTTTGTGAGGCTTTTGGGCTTTGGGGACTCCATATCATACTTACACAGACCTGGACTACTATCCAATCTATTAGATGGACACCACCGAGGGCTAGATGGTGGAAACTCAACGTTGATGAAGCATCTCAAAGCAACCTAGAACCATCTAGAGGAGGAGGTATCTTACGCGATAGTACAAGATGCATTCTCTTTGCCTTTTCGAACTTTTATAATATACGAACTAATATTGTGACAGAGGCTATGGTAATACAGGATGGTTTACTTCTTTGTGAGGAGCAAAATATTACTAATAGTCTTAGAATCTGATTCCAAAGTGTTAGTGAACATGTTACGTGCAGACTCTTGTCCTCATTAGAGGCTCAAGAATATCTAAGCAAACATCATGCGATGTCGAGGATGCATCACAACCATTACACATCAGTTCCGAGAAGGGAATCAGACAGCCGACGTCCTTGCTATGTATGGAGTCAGATCGCATCAGAGGATAGTCTTCTCTTTTTGGTAAGACATGCCCCTCGAAGCCCAAGGTGCTCATAGACTTGAGCGACTTGACATACCCTCTTTATGCATACACCGCACTCCACTACTGGCCCTTCCACGGCAATGGCGTATTACTTGGAGGAGACCAAAGGTGGTTACTATTGGCTGCTGAAGACCACAATGGAGATACAGGTACGTGTTTCATTTGTTTCTGTTTTCAGGTCTATCACAAGCCACAACCATGACATCATTATAGCGCTCATCCCATACCACCGATGTGGCATGCACTTTGCCTATCAGCACAAGACGGACAACAAGGCACATCGTAATCCACTCGAGTACACTATTTTCAATCATTACTCTCCTCATAATCACCTCACATCTACTATCTATCACCCTCAAGCAATGAGGACACAGAACTATCAGCACATGTTGGCATGTAGCCACTTTTGAACTATAAGTCTATAGCACATCAAACCTGCCAAACTAGTTGTGAATCGCCAACATAGTACATCTCTCAAGATCTCATTAGTACCATCAGCCAACTTGAACCCCATAAGAAGGTAAAGATCTATATCCATAGGATTGACCCTCTCTCTTCTCTCTCTCTCTCTCTCGATTCTCTATGTCTTTTTCCCTCCCTTTCTCTCTTTTCAAAAAAAAAAAAAAACAGGCAGCCTACTTCTTTTCTCGCAATCATTAGCCCATCATAGACAATTAGTGGAGGGTGAGGGAAAGGGCCCTCAAAAAAAGAAAAAAAAAAAGTGAGCAACCTACTTCTCTTCTCCTAATCACTAGCCTAATACTCCAAAGGAAATTACCCTTGTACACCAAATAATGGGCATTAGTGGAAGGTAAAAGAAGAGGCCCTCAAAAAAAAAAAAAAAAAAAAAAGAGAGAAAGAAGAGAGAGAGAATAAGAGAAAAGAAAAGAGTTAGAAAAAGAGACCAAGTCATTCCTCGTGGGGTGAAAAGTTCCTTACCTACTTAGAAGAAGTACAGCAACTGATGGTACTAATAAGATCTTGGCCAGAAGGATTAGGCGTGTGCAACACTAGGAAGGCAAATTCATATTTGGGCTTATTGTCATGCTCCAGCATAATTCTATCCTCCTCACTACCTTAACCACTCTTTTCTCACCACTTTATATCATATTATTTATTTCTTAGAACCACTTACTACAGCAAACTCTTGTCTTGTAGGAACACTTCATGGCGCACAACATGGAGGTCTACACGTCCTACTACTGTTGAGTAGATCTTCCAACTTCATGAACTCAAAGGTTCTTTCAGCCCAATACAAATCAACTGTCTTTCTTCAAATATGATGAGCGCACTGGAGTCTATCTCTAGTATTATCACATCCCCTCTTCAAAAGAGGTCTTTAATCCTCCATATCATGCTTGCCCCTTGTGCGAATAAGATCCCACTTATGTAACCTCAAAAAGAGGTCAAACATCTAGCACTCAATCAAATTTCTTCATTTCAAAAAAAAAAAAACCCTAAACCCTAAACCCAAAACCCTAAATCCTTAAACCCTAAACCCTAAACCCTAACCCCCCTAAGTGGGAGAGTTGCCACCGGATCCCATAAAAACTTTTGAGTTAAGTGTGCTCAGGTGAGAGCAGTCCCCGGATGGGTGACCTCCCTAGGAAGTCCCCAGGTATGCACACATGTATCGCAAGACACTCACTAGTGATATCTATCTCCAAAGAATGTGCCTGAGCGGCACCAAAGTGCTTGTGTGTGTGAAGTATCGAGATGGGTGACCTCGTGAGAAGTTCAGCCCAATATAGTCATCCCAAAAAAAAAGAAAAAAACCCTAAACCCCCTAAGTGAGAGAGTTGCCACTAGATCTCATAAGAACTCTAGAGTTAAGCATGCTCTAGTGGTGGGAGCAGTCTCCAGATGGGTGACCTCCTTGGGAAGTCCCCGAGTACGTGCACATACGCCATGATGCAAGATGCTCCCTTCTCTGAAGAACGTGTCTCGAGGCACCCCTGCAGGCTTTGGAGGATCACCACCCGCATCACTTCAGTTGCATCAAGCTCGAGCTCATGGCCTTCATCGCTGGTTCCTCCCCTCCCTCTGCCACCCTCGTCGCCACCCAAGAGTTGTCCCTCTGGAAGAGGAAGGCAGCATCGAGGACGCCGCTGCCGAGGTGGTGGAGGGCAGCCAGCGGCGGGGCGTAGGCGGCGAGGGTGGAGGAGTGTCTGAGGAAGATACGATGGGTGAAGGAGCTCCTCATCACCGGTGGGTGAAGAACTCGTAGTCAAGGTGGTGTCTATTGCCTCTCTATATCTCTGTCTCTCTATTACCTCCCTCCTATTTACGTGGAGAATGAAGAAGAAGAAGAATGTGAGAGAGATTCTATGCGAAAAAAAAAAAAAAAAAACCCTTAAACCCTAAACCCTAACCCCCTTAAGTAAGAGAGTTGCCACTGGATCCCATAAGAACTCTAGAGTTAAGTGTGCTCAAGTGGGAGCAGTCCCCAGATGAGTGACCTCTCTGGAAAGTCCTCGAGTACGTGTGCATGCTTCGTGAGACGCCTGTTGTACATGTGTTGAAAGGCACCGACCGCTGCACAAAAGTGATTGGGTGTGTGAAGTATCGAGATGGGTGACCTCCCAAGAAGTTCAGCCTAAGACAATTATCCCAAAAAAAAAAAAAAATCCTAAACCCTAAACCCTAAACCTTAACTACCCTAAGTGAGAGAGTTGCCACCAAATCCTATAAGAACTATAGAGTTATTGTGCTCGGAAGTCCTCAAGTACATGCATGCACATCGAGGGCCCTACGCTACATATAGTTGAAAGGCACCGCTGCATTACTATGCCGCCATGCACGTGTTACGAACCTTTCTACCACTATGCTAAGAGACACTCAGCTCTGAAAAATGTGCCAAGAGACACCCTTGCCACTATGCCGAGAGGCACCAAAAGTGCTTGGGTGTGTGAAGTACCAGGATGGGTGACATCTTAAGAAGTTCGGCTCAAGATAGTTATCCTAAAAAAAAATGCTAAGACCTAAACCCTAAATCCTAACCTCCCTAAGTAAGAGAGTTGCCACTAAATCCTATAAGAACTCTAGAGTTAAGTGTGCTCGGGTGAGAACAATCTCTTAAATGGGTGACCTCCTTAAGAAGTCCTCGGATATATGTCGAGAGCCACTAGTGACATCTATCATCTGAAGAATGTGTTGAAAGACATCAAAGTGCTTGAGTGTGTGAGCTACTGAAATGGGTGACATCTTGAGAAGTTCGGCCCAAGACAGTTATCCCAAAAAAAAAATAAACCTTAAACCCCACCCACTTCATTTGCTCAACTTTTTTCTCTCTCCTCACGATCAGCGCAAATGATGAGATCTCCTTCGTGTGACCTCAAATCGCGCTGAAACTTTTTCCATTCGATTCGGAAGGCCAAAAACTATTGGTTTCGAGTTATTACGTATCGAAAACGGTGGATTAAAGCCTTTGTTTTGCAATTTCTTCATCACGAAGGTAAACTTTCGAAGTTTTCACTCCAAAGGTAATGTCTCTCTATTGACTGGGTTAAATTTCATTCTTTTTAGCTCAATAGAATCGTATTTGCCTCATTTACCATTTGCTCTACTATATAATTTTGATTTGATGCTTAACTGATGAGTAGCTCAAAGATTTCGTGACCTCTGTCGCCTAGATGAAAACTCGACCGACGAATGCGAGCAAACAGAAGGCCGACACATGGCAGTAACGGCCTTCTTTCCTTGCCTTCCCTCTCCGCCGATTGATGTGACCGAGGAGACGGCCGTAAATGAGCTGAATGGTCGAACTATGGATGTCCGTGATTTGACATCAGCTGACGTCTTCTTGAGGCCCAAATCGGAGGGGACAGCAGTCGACGCCATCCACTCTCCCTCCGGGAACGAGGTGACGGCGGGTGAAGAGGCCCCCTCTGGTCCAACCATTGATCGTATGATCAATGGTCAGAATCAGCCAGCTATAAAGGCCTCAGCAGCTGTTACCGAGACACCGCCCTCGGACGGTGACGGGCGCAACGGCCAACTTGATCCAACCGTTGATCTTGAGATCAACAGAGGGGATCACGTGGCCATAAAGGCACCGAAACCTTTTGCGATCGCCGATGCCTCGGCTGTGACGCTACTGACGTCATCAACGTCAGACGCCGCGGACGTTGGCATCGCACAAAACCCTACACCATCACGTGTCAAGCCCTGCTCAGCTGGCACCGTATAGGCGCGGCCCGTGCAAGCCTCCAGCAAGGTTGCTAGGGCTGAGCCAGCCTATGTAGTGCCATTTGAGGCTGCTCTGGCCCAGGCCACGCCGGCCCAGCCCATCGAGGCTGCACCGGCTCAGGACGCACCGGCCCAGGCCTAGGTGGCCCAGGCCGAGCCTGAGCAGCCGGCTCAGGCTACACTGGTCCAAGCTCTTGCCCAGGTAGGCCCAAACCCTAGGTCTACCCAAGGCAATCCATTTGGGCTCCCTGAGAGAAGCCCAAAGGGGCCTAAGCTGGGTGGCCCAAATGGGCCCACCCAAGGCACACTTGGGCCTACTCAAGGTATGCCACCTGCGCCTACCAAGGGAGGCCCAAAGGAGCCTGAACTAGGTGGCCCAAAGGAGCCAAATGGGCCCACCGAAGGAGGCCCAGATGGGCTCACCCAGGATAGTCTTGGACTGATCCATGGTGACCCCAATAGACTTATCTTGAAGAAGTCTAGGGGCAAGTACCTGCGGCCCAAAAAGAGGATAGGATGCCGACCTTTACTCCCACCCTCGGCCATGTCTTATGGGCCTACCCCAAGTCAACAGATTGAGCCGATTTTACCCCTACCTATAAGGCCCCCTAGGCTCTCTCAAACTAATCATCTCGAACCAACTATGATCCCAACACTGATTGAGACTTCTATACTAACTCCAAACACATCCCTTAGGCACACCATATCTATACCCAGTGGGCTGGACACTACTGTGCCTCATAGGCCAAACCTGACTATGCCCACTAGACACCTATCATGAGCATAACGAGTTTCTAGACCCTCTGTCCCCTCCAAAGAGATTGTCACGCCACATGGATCGTTGCGTCAAATACTATTCCCATACTTTAATATCATTGTACTAGTGTGAGGCTATAGCGAGGATGACGGGATGAGGACTATAGCTTTTACTCATGAGGAGGTCTCACATATGGCAGCCACATTCTAATATACCTTAGTTGGTCGTCTCACTATGAAACGACCAACCATAGATGACATAGAGAGGATTTACTTGGCACTTGGAAATTTTCAAGACTAAGTCTCTATCGAAGTTCGAGACTATCGTAGTGTATATATCTGTTTTGAGCTAGAAGCAAACTATCGTCGAGCATGGAGCTGACCCACTTTGATAGTGGGAGAGTCTACCCTCTATACCCATATATGGACACTACAGATTGACATAGGGCACTACACACATCAGCCCCATGTGGTTCTATTATGGGTAGGTTTTCCTAACCTACTTGTTTATTTATTTACACCAAAGACACTTGAGTCTTTGACAAATGTAGTGAAAACATTTATATGTCTTGACTTAGGCATAAAAATGTTCAACTGATTAAGATATACACAAGTTTGTATAGAGGTGGACCTAATGACCCCTCTATAGAAGACACTCATTATACGTTGTAGAGATGATGAACTCTACTAGTCTATCATTTATGAGATATTACCATATTTTTGTACATATTGTGCTATCTTGGGCCACACTATCAGCACTTGCCACCAAAAGACAGGTACACCACAGGTGACCACACGAGCCTTTTTAGTACCAATCTCATATGATGATTATCTCATCAAAATGAGAAAGGATGCTCAGAGCGCTCGTCATCCTCAAAGATCGATTGCCTCTATGGCGGCTCCACCTTCCCTACCTCAAAAGGCACTAGAGAAGCCTAGTTCAGTGATTGAGACACAACATGCACAGCAAAAGCTGGCAGCTGGATGCCCTTCTTCCACCTACATAAGACAGAAGAAAGGAATACGAGAGACTATACCTTCCCCTGTAGGCAAGGGAAAGAAACCCTTGACCTCGAATACCTTCAAGGTCTTAAAGGCTTTAGATGAGAGAGACTTTGAGGGACCTACATAGAGGGGAACTAGGCCTTCCAAAGGGCTAGCATCCCCTACTACAAGAGACTCACCTAGTCATACCCCACATACTAGATCCCCTCAGGCTATCCGATCCCCCATACCCACCCACCCCACTCCACTCATTAGTGTCTCTCCACCACTCAGTTCCTCCCCACCCATTCGCTCTTCCTCACATAGCAAGAGTCTTTCACCTCTTAGTCCCCATCAACCGAGGTCTACCCCTTTCTTTGAAGGTATAGGCTTGGGCACTACCCATCCCCCTCAGATCCCCATCGAGGATTTACTAGGAGGGCCTACCTCCAGTAGACCTCCTATTAGTACATCTTATGTAGCCCCCCCTTTTGATTCTTATACCCTCCCCCCTCTCTCCCACCACACTTGCCAAATTAGTTTCCTATATTTGATCCACCACCCATTGATTATAGGGAGAGCCCCGATAGAGGATAATGCTTGACGAATAGTCAAGCACCACACCCATCCTCTTCATCTAGTGTTCATGATACTAGTGGCCATACAACTAGTACTCATGAGGATGGCGGATTTGAGACTGACCTTGAGACTACTTACCTAGAGGAAGGATATTAGACGGAGGCTAAGACCACACGACTCACTAGACGCTCACCTTATTCCACAAGATCTAGGACTCGTGGGGCCACTCATTAGATCATGATACCTAATATCATATGGAATTGTTAAGGTATAGGTAACCTCGAAACCCAATTCTATATAGCTAGCCTTATCAAATAATACCAACTAGATATAATAGGGCTCATTGAGCCCATGATATCATCAAATCATATCCAACCCTTACTTAGGCGATTGGGTATGAATTATTTTTACTCCAACCCCACGAATCATATCTGGCTCTTTTAGACTAGACCATACTCTATGGAGTTACTAGTCGAGGGATCCTAGTATATCACTATGACGATTCGAGATGCCACCCAAGAGTTCACCTTCACGGTCATCTATGTATCACATAGATTTGAAGAAAAGGAAACTCTTTAGGCTGGCCTAGTTCAATACGTAAGGGACTACCCTACACTAGTTGAGTCTCTTTGGTACTCAACAGGTGACTTCAACTATGTTAGTAATACTAGTGAACGTCAAGGTGGGCAGACCCCTAGTTCCGCAACATGGAGATGTTTAATGACTATATTTTTAGATTAGCTCTTATTGAGCCACCTACATCAGGCAAGGCATAGACACAGAGCAAAAATTGAGGGAACGCTTTGATTTATGAGTGTATTGATCGCTGCTTCATCAACAACATCACCATGGTGCGACATCCCATATTAGTCACGATATTACCCCGTTATAGGTCAGATCACACTCTGATCCTCATACTCCTTAGATTATGAGCACCCACATACCTCCTTTCAGATTTCAAATAATGTGGCTCTAACATAAGAACCTTCAGAGTTTCGTACGAAATCACTGGTACAGATATATCTCATATTCTCCTATGGAGAACCTAAGCTATAAGTTAAAAAATCTCAAACTCCACCTTAAATGGTGGAACAGACATATCTATGGAAATGTCCATACTCAGATTGATGTATTGCAAAAGGAGTTAGCGAAGGTTGAAAGACTACTGCAAACTCGATATTCAGATACTACCTAGGAAAGGAGTAGAGTGAACGACCAGCTTGATGAGGTTGTGCGACAATCAGAGTTATTCTATCTCCAAAAATCACGCATCTAGTGATTACAAGAGAGTGATAGAAACACTTGTTTCTTTCTTACCTTGGTCACTCACCGCTCACGTTCAGATTATACCTCTCTTTTAGAGACATATGATCAAAACCTTTCCCGCATACAGGAGGTAAGGGTTGAGTACTTTCGTACTCTATTAACCTCTCAACCGATTGAGATTTCTAATGATATATTCACTTCGATCCCATCATTGGTCACTCACCATGAGAGCTCTCTCACGACGATAATACCCACGGGAGAAGAGATCAAGAAAGTAGTTTTCTCTATGAGCAGACATCGTGCACTCGAGCACGATGATTTTTCAACTACTTTTTATATTTCATGTTGGGATATCGTTGGCACTAGTCTCATCCAAGCTATCAAGGAAATCTTTCATCATAGAGTCTTTACACGGAGTTGAAAGGCCACTTTCCTTGTACTTATACTGAAGGTGACTACCCCAACCTCATTTAGAGACTTTTGACTTATCAGCTTATGTAACATGTGTTATAAAGTTATATCTAAGATCGTTACATGTAGATTGAATAGTTTTCTTGATAGAGTTATCTCTAGAGTAGTACGAATTTGTCAAAGGATGGCACATTCACGATAACATCATGTTAGTACATGAACTAGCATAGTCCATTGACCATGACTCTCAAGGCTCTAACATCATCATTAAATTAGACATGAAGAAGGCCTTTGATAGGATAGAGTAAAGTTTCCTCACTAAGGTTCTTAGACGCTTTAGGTTCATCGACGACTTCATTGACTTAGTCGATGCATGCATTAAAGAGAATCATTTCTCCTTATTGGTGAACGGTAGCTCCACATCATTCTTCACAACCACAAGAGGTCTACGACAAGGCGATCCACTATCACCCACCCTCTTCATCTTGGTCGAAGAAGTCCTCAGTCGATCTCTCACCCGAGCAATCAATCAAGGACTTATCCAACCATACTACTCGAAGAGGGGTTGTCCGATCATCTCACTCTCTCTCTCTTTGCTGATGATGCGATACTCTTCCTCAATGGATGTCTCACTTCCATTGAGGGCTCATGAGTATTATCTCGAGGTATGAGCGAGTTGCAGGTCAACTCATTAATGCCTCGAAGGGTAAGCAAGTTTCGTTTTCTAACCAATTACCATCGTAGGCCACTATCTACCCGAGGAATCAAGGGTCCTCATCGAGTCAAACGCACAATCTGAGTCATGTGCATGTTGACGAGGAGGAAGTGGATGCTGTATTAGCGATATCGAGCCTTAGGAGCGGCAAGGATTTACCTGATCCTTACAAGGATCATCTTTTACATAAGAGCTCGATAGATGATGAGACACCAACAGTCATAATAAAGCCAGATAATAGTTCAGATGATGAAGAAGAATGGATGCAAGTTGAGCCAAATCCAGACACATACAAACCACCCATGCCATATCTTCAAGCATTGAGTAAGCCTAAGGCTAAGGTTAGTGAATCTGATGATTATTTATTAGAAACCTTCCAAAAGGTTACCATTACCATCCCTTTAGTAGATGTAATTAGGCATATACCTTCTTATGCTAAATTCCTTAAAGGCATATGCACACACCATAGAAGCCCCAAGAGGATCCAATTGAGTGAGAATATTAGTTCTATTATGATGAATTCTCTTCATATTAAAAAGAGAGATCTAGGAGCTCCTATGATTACGTGTGAGATTGGAGGAATGATTTTTACTAGATCGTTGTTAGATATCGGAGCTAGTATCAATATCCTCCCTAAAGCCGTATATGACCGTCATCATGTAGGGGAATTGCAGCCTTTCCTTATAGAGTTATGTTTAACGGATGGATCGGTAAAGAAGCCTCATAGCATAGTAGAAGATGTGATTGTTAGAATAAAAGGATGTTATTTTCCGATAGACTTCCTAGTTGTAGATATGAAGATCACTAAGGAGCTTAGTCAAGCCCCAATTATCCTAGGAAGACCTTTATTAGCTACCGCAAAAGTCGTTACAGATTGGGGAAAAGGAGAAGTGATTCTTAAGGTGGGAGAGCATACGGTGAAGGTCAACATCAACAAGTTGATGAAGTATCCTTCACAAGCTTTCGAGGATTTGGGCGCCATCGATCTATTTGATGATCAAGACATAGAGACTTGCATCAAAGAAGTCATAACGGTCAACGAGGGAGCTGATTTCGAGGAGCTACCGTTGGACGATCCGACAGGAGAGCTCAAGCCTCTTCCATCTACACTCAAGTATGCTTTTCTTGACTCTCAGCAGGTTAAACTAGTGATCATTTCTTCCCAACTCAATGAGGAGCAAGAGAAACAATTACTCGACGTATTACAACGAAATGAGTAAGCAATCGGATGGACTCTAGCAGATTTGAGGGGATTAGACCCTTCATTATGCACTCATCGCATATTCTTGGAGGACGAGTCCAGACCCGTGAGGGAAGCCCAGCGTTGACTTAATCCTAAGGTATGGGAAGCCGTTAAGGAAGAGATTCTTAAGTGGCTTAATGCAGAGATTATCTATCCCATATTGGATAGCCAGTGGGTTAGTCCCGTGCACATGGTTCCCAAGAAGACAGGAGTTACGGTGACTGTAAACGACAAAGGAGAGGAGATTCAAACACGCCTCCCGACGAAGTGGCGAGTTTGTATCGATTACCAGAAGTTGAATGTAGCGACGAAGAAAGATCACTTCCCAATGCCATTCATCGATCAAATCCTTGATCGACTAGTAGGTCAGACTTACTTTTGTTTCTTGGATGGTTATTCAAGGTACAACCAGATTGCGATTCATCCGGACGATCAAGAAAAGACGACGTTCACATGTCCCTTTGGCATGTTCACATTTAGGCGAATGCCATTCGGATTGTGTAATGCCCCTACGACATTCCAGAGATGTATGACGGTGATATTTTCTGATTTCCTTGGCTACAATCTCGAAGTCTTCATGAACGATTTCTCTGTCTTTGGAGATGATTTTGACAGCTGCCTAACTCACCTGACAAAGATCCTCGAGGTTTGCGTCAAGAAACGACTGGTATTGAGTTGAGAGAAATCCCATTTTATGGTACGAGAGGGAGTAGTGCTCGGGCATCTCATCTCAGGCAAAGGTTTGGAGGTTGATAAGGCCAAGATTGAGGTCATTCAAAACCTTTCTCTCCCCACTACATTACGAGATTTACGTATTTTTTTAGGACACGTTGGTTTTTACCGCAGGTTTATACGAGATTTTGCTAAAGTTTTCAAACCGCTAACCACTCTTCTTTGCAAGGATAAAGACTTTTTTATAGATAAAGAAGGGGAGCGCACATTCGAGATGTTGAAGCTCGCCTTGATCGAAGCACCAATTCTTCAAAGTCCTAATTAGGACTTGCCTTTCGAGATCATGTGCGACGCCTCAAACTATGCAGTTGGAGCGGTGTTGGGACAGCGGATAGATAAGAAGCCAACAGCTATATGGTATGCGAGTAAGACTCTTGTTGAAGCTCAAATGAATTACACGACGACAAAAAAGGAGCTCTTAGCGGTGGTCTATGCGTTAGAGAAGTTCAGGCCTTACATCTTGGGAAGCACGATTGTTATTTATACAGATCATGCAATGTTAAAGTACTTATTTTCCAAGGAGGCGAAGCCACGATTGATACAATGGGTGCTACTTCTTCAAGAGTTTGACTTAGAGATTAGAGATAAGATGGGCAGCGAAAACTCAGTGGCGGATCACCTATCTCGTCTTCACATTTCAGGTACGAGAGATATTAGTGATTTTTTTCCTGATGAGCATCTTCTTGTAGTATCTAGTCATGCTCCTTGGTTCGCGCATATCGTCAATTTTCTAGTGACAAGATTGATCCCAGATCATTGGAACCGACATCGTAAAGATAAGTTCTTTCATGAACTCAAATATTATTATTGGGAAGAACCACTTTTGTTCCATGTAGGATACGATCAAATTATACGGCGATGCGTAGCGGAAGAAGAACAAGGAAGCATATTATCGATGTGTCACTCATCAGCGTGTAGACATTTTGCCGCACGAAAGATAGCATATAAGATTTTACAAAGCGGTTTTTATTGGCCCACCATCTTCAAGGATGCACATCGTTTCTATACGGAGTGCTTACAATGCCAGGCAGCATTAAGCATCTCCAAGCGAGATGAAATGTCAATGAGGCCTATCTTTAAAGTTGAGATATTTGATTTATGGGGGATCGACTTTATGGGACCTTTTCTAACTTCTGATGGGAAACAGTATATTTTGATAGCGGTTGATTATGTGTCTAAGTGGGTGGAGACTATTCCCACTAGGACAAACACTCATCGGGAAGTACTCAGGTTTGTAACGATAAACATCTTCTCCTGATACGGTTGTCTGAGGGCCATAATCAGTGACGGAGGCTCGCACTTCAACAATGCACACTTTTGTGCATTATTGAAGAAATATGGAGTACATCATCGCGTCACTACACCGTACCACCCCTAAGCTAATGGGCAAGTTGAAGTGAACAACCGAGAGGTCAAGAATATTTTAAAGAAGATCATTCGACCAGACGGTAAGGATTGGGTGCACAAGCTTCCAGATGTATTATGGGCGTATAGAACAACTTACAAGACACCTATCGGGATGTCTCCGTTCTAACTCATATTTGAGAAGGCGTGTCATCTGCCAGTTGAGCTTGAGCATACAGCCTATTAGGCAATAAAGAAGCTCAACCTATCTCTAGACGAAGCAGGTAAACATAGACTTCTTCAATTGCAGGAATTACAAGAGTTAAGGCGTGACGCGTACGAGAACGCGGAGATCTACAAAGAAAAGACCAAGGCCTTCCATGATAGGAACATCAGAAGAAGAACTTTCAACGTCAATAAAAAGGTTTGGTTATATAACTCTCGCCTTAAGCTTTTTCCAAGTAAGCTGCGCTCATGATGGGACGGTCCGTACGTGGTTGTGAAATCGTTTGACAACAGATTAGTGCTTATTTCCAACCTTAAATCCGGCAAACAATTCAAGGTAAATGGGCATCGTCTAAAGCCCTACCTTACAGTAGAGCCACACACACCAGCAGATAAGGTAAATCTACATCTCCCCGAGGTACATGAGGACGTGATAAAGGTAACACCCTCATCTCATCGATCATTGTAGTTCACTAAGTTTCGTCTGGCTGAAGACGTTAAACTTAGCACTCTTGGGAGGCACCCCAAGATTATCTTACTATTTTATTTAGTTCTTGTTTGTAGTTATATCAATGTACATACATAGTTGGAGGAATCCACCTACAACAACAAGCAATTTGGACAAATTCTAACGATATGCGTCAACACGTATAAATGAGTTTTTCTAAACCTTTTTACTTCTCATTTCAATTTATAATCTTTTTCATGTAATGCATGATAGTGTTGCCATCTTTTTAATATACATAATGGTTTCATTGAGGGAAATGAAAGATTTAAGTTGGGGGGTGAGGATGTAGAAAAACTTCAATTTTCAAAATTTTTCAAATTTTTACTACTTTTAAACACCTTAGAAGTCTTAAACATTTTGAGATCCTATTCCTAGAGATGTAGAAGTGAGGGCCTCATAGCCCATGTGATTACATTTTGAGTAATAAAGCCAAGTGATCTAGAGAAACCATGGATTCTTTTTAGTGGTTGACTTCTTCGGGGTTGGGTATCTAGCAGGCACTGAGAAAAATGAGTAATCAGAGGTTGAAGTGCTATTGGATTGAAAAGGAGAGATTTTGAGTGAAGTTCAAGCAAATTCCTATCCCCTACCTTACATCAACCGAACCTGCTTGGTGTACGAATTTCTCGCTTCCGAACTTTCTCCTAGAAGAGTGCAATGTGCCATAATTTTGGATGCACCTATTCTATCCTTTAGGCATTTAGTTCTACCTTTTCCATACCAATCAATTAGACACCCAAATTTCAGCTTCATTGATTATAATTACACTCCCAAGTGATAAACATATCCACCACATTTTCTTTTCCACCATCTATACAAGCCATCCATCTTCTTCACAATTTCTCTTACAAGCAAATATTCCTTCATATTACACTTCAAAATTTTGAATACTCTCTTCAAACATCAAAACAACCTTCATATCCTTGTTTATGTAAAGTCTTCAAATGTTATCTTCTTCTTCTCCAAAAAGTTACAATATACAAAAAGAAGAAAGAAGAGAAGAAAAAAAAGAGAAGCAAATATGAAATGAAGAAAAGAAGAAGACAAAAAGAAAGAAGAAAAGAAAATGAGGAGAAAAGAAAGAGAGAAATAAGAAAGTGAAAAGAAGGAGAACAATATGAGAAATTATCTTTACCATGTAAATACCTATCTCTACCCATTACCTTCATTCCATTTCCAATGTATATATCAATTTTACCACTCCACACCATCTCTACCACTTTCTATCAATCCTTATCTACCACCATCATCCACATTATTTGGGAGAATAATTAGACATCAGTGGTACCTTTTCTTTGTATATAATATCAAATTTATTTATATGCTGATATTTGCTTTTAACCAAGTTATTCCTTTAGAAATAGTATCTTTTTACTCTTTCAGTTACCTTATAACGATGTATTCTAAAATAGGAAATCCTTTTACAATGCACTCTTTAAAGGAGAAAGAAGAGTTGAGGGGAATTCTAATGCACCAAGTAGCCTCCAAATGAGTGAAAGAGTGATGTGAGAATTAGAGAGGTGAGGATTACATATGCTCATGAGAGTGTGAGAATCTTTTCATTCCCATAGCATCAAACCTTAGATGTGCTCACCTCGATTACACTTGAGTAATGACTCGACTATTAGTTGATGAGCACTACCCTAATATGCACTAAGGAAGTCAACCTAGTTATGGAATCTAGATCACCATGGTCCACACTATGATGAAAAGTTGATCACACATTGATACACTTCACATCTTTAGTTGCAAGATCAAGGGATGATAAGACTTTCTAAGGAGATTACCTAGCAAATTGCTAAGAGACTAGCAATTATTCAAGTTGGGGGGTGTGATAACATGCTATTCAAGTTGGGGGGTGTAATTATATAATTATTAATGCAAATTAAGGCATTAATCATTACAAATATATGCATGTTATCATATTTCAAGTATATTTCTATCATTTTGTGTAAAATCATGTTATGATCTAAAAATATATCAAATTATGGATTATAATAAATAATTACACATTACATTCTTTAATCCTAATTATATTTATGATCATAATCATGTTTTAAGAGTGAAAATATGAGAGAAAAGATATTTATTAACATTTATGTATAAATTTTATATAATACATAAATGTATAAAAATAATTAAAATTTATTATCTTCTTATTTTAATAATTTGACCTTTTATAATGATAGATTATTCAATTTTGAATCCAAAAAAACAAATTTGAATTAATTTGGAGTCGTATTTTGAAATTTATGATTTTTACAATTTTATAGAATTTTCCGGAATTTTTCTGAATTTATTTATATTTATTTTCGATTTTTAAATGTTTTAAATTAATTTAAAAAATCGCAAAAAAAGGGGGTTATATGTCGCGCGTGTACACGTGGATGCGACGTGGTACTCGGGGCCACGTGTCTCTGCCACGCGGACAGCACGCGGGTGCCTGCGTGGCGCTGATGTGACACGTGGCGTATGTTACATACCCGAATATACTCCTTTGTTTTCCCCGTATGGGACTAAAGTCCCTTAGTTTCTTATCTGCGCGTGGCGTGATCTCGTGCGTCCGATCGAATCGCGACAAATAGCGTGCGTAGATCACGTGGAATCGAGGTCCACGCGATCAGAGATCAACCACGTGCTAAATACTCACTTAAGTAAATAAATCGCGACCATCTGATCGAGAGTTATAACGGTCCAGATTATTCACATCAGATGGACACCCAATCACATCTTAACCGCACGATCACGATCGGACGATCGTCGAATCGTCGCGACGATTCGTGAAGAGGCGTCTCATCGTGATCGTCCATCGCGATCAACTCCATCAGATCGGACGGCCACGATCATTTCCGAATTTAATAAAGTCCGTTCTTCGCGATGGAAGAACTGCCCGCGATCAATCTTCAAATTCTCTTTGTTTAGAGCTCCAATTCGCGCGCCATCTTTTGCATTGTGTTCGATCATTTTCGCTTCTGTTGGATGTTTAACTTCAATGTTTGATTAAAAGAATTGGAAGAAATCAAGTCTTGAACTCCTCTTTCGTTTTTGAAAATTCGGAATGAAAAGCCTTGCATCCGGCGATTAATTGGATCATTTCGAAGGCTAATTTGGGTTAGATTGTTTTTTTTCATCTTAATATTTCATCATTTAGTGTTAATTTTACTTTAAGTATTGTATATTAAGTTTAATTTAGTTTTAATTTCTGTTTTTAATCATTTCGCGATACGAAAATTTCTCTTAACTTCAAACTTCGATTACTCTTCGAATTCTCATCCAAATCACCTGATTTTTGATTCCGTGGATTCGAAATTGAGTTATCTTTCTAAATTGCCAATTGATAACTTAATTTCATCCTCCGATTTGACCGAATTTCAAAGATATCTCTCAAATTTCCCTAATTCTTCGTGGATTCGACCCTTAATTACCATTATACTGATTAATCATAAATTGGTAAGATTAGGACTTTGTTTTGACATTGAATAGTGGGCAATTTAGTATATTAAGGTATGTGTTTCCTTTGTATGTGTTTTCACGGAGATATAACCATTGGTCGCTAAAGACCATAACAGAGATATAGGTATGTGTTTCCTTTGTTTCTATTTTCAAGTCTCTCACACGTCACAACCACGACATCTTCATAGTCCTCGTCACATACCATCGATGTGGAATGCACCTTGACTATCAGCATAAGACAGACGACAAAGCACATCGCAATCCACTCGGGTACACACTTCCAATCATTACTCTCCTCATAATCACCTCACATCTACTATCTATCACCCTCAAGTAGTGAGGACACATAGAACTATGAGCACATGTTGGCATCTGCCCACTTTTGAAATATAGGTCTATAGCACATCAGACCTGCCAAACTAGTTGTGAATCATCAACCTAACACCTCTCTCAAAATCTCATTAGTACAATCAGCCAACTTGAACCCATGAGAAGGTAAAGATCTATATTCATAGGATTGACCCTCTCTCCTCCCTCTCTCTCTTGATTCTCTATTTCTTTCTCCCTCTCTTTCTCTCTCTTCAAAAAAAAAAAAAGAGATAACCTACTTCCCTTCCCATACTCACTAGCCTAATACTCTAAAGGGATTTACCCTTGTACACTAAATCATGGGCAATAGTGGAGGGTGAAAGAAGAGGCCCTCAAAAAAAAAAAAAAAAAAAAGAAGA